GGGCCGTATCGTATTCTGAAGAAAGTTGGACCTGTTGCTTATCAGCTTGAGTTGCCTTCCCACCTCAGTCGTATTCGTGAGTTTTTTCATGTGTCTATGTTAAGGCGATACCGTCCAGATCCAGGTCACATTATTCAGGTGAAGAAGTAGAGCTGAGACCGGATTTATCATATGAGGAGGAGCCCATTCAGATTTTAGAAAGAGATGAAAGAGTTCTTCGGAATAGGCGAATTCCAATGGTCAAAGTTCAGTGGAGTAATCGAGGCCTCTCAGAAGCTACTTGGGAGACATTGGAGTCAATGGAGGCTCAGTTTCCTCAACTATTCTCATAAGGTAAATTTCGAGGACGAAATTTCTTGTAGAGGGGGAGAATTGTAACAACCCGAATTTACAAAATAATATTTAATTGAAATTGGACGTTTAATTGTGAAAATTGGTGAAATTTAAGACTGAACTAAAATTTATGAAAAGTTATAGGCCATTTTATAAGTTGAAGGAAATTCAGGGACCAAGCCCTGAATTCCTCAAGGAGTGTCGGCAGGCTTATAATTTAAGCGTGGTTTCTGATTGTAAATCAGAAAACACAATTGAGAATTTGCTCAATTTTCCTTCTCTCGTACCCTACTTCCAAGCCCGATTCCGACGCCGTTCGACGTCCAATCGTAAAATTGAAACCACCGTTGTGTTCATCATCAAGCGAGGAACAAACCCTTCAAATTAATTGAAGTGAACGCTGCCAAACGTCGGGAATTTTCAGTCAAAGCATCGTCGTTTTTTTTAGCTCTATCGCCGGGAAAAAACTTAAATTCACCGCCGATCGTTGTTCCGTTACGACACCTCCTGCACCATCGTGTTCCTGTCGTTTCGAGTCCGCGGTGTCAACCTTGTTCGCCGTCGATGGCGGCGTGAGGAGGTGGAGCAGTCAAAGATTCGACCGAGTGAAATACGAGCTCTCCGCCGTTCAAAAATTTGAACCGATCGTTGTAAGTATCTCGGAATCGCTCAAAATAATTTTTAGGAAATTTTCCGACACCGTGGCACTGTTCACGCGCCGCACGCCCGCCGCAGGGAGAGTAAGCTGCTGGAAAACGGTTTGACCAGTTTGAAACCGGTTTGACCGGTCTGAACCGGGTTGACCCGACCCGACTGTTGACCCGACCAGACCGTTGACCCGACCCGACCGTTGACCGTTGACCGTGACCGTTGACCGTTGACTTTCTTTGACTAAAACTTAAAATGGCTTTGACCGACCCTTAACGACCGTAAATCTTTTCCGAGTATACCTATCCTGATAGTTTTCGATGTGCCAAATCCATTTCCGCAGTCCGTTCACCAAATTCAAACCGAAGGTCTCCAAATCGATGGTCAAAGTGGTTAACTTTGACTTGACCAAGAATCTGAATTTCTGAAAAGTCATACTTTATATTTTTTGACGTCCTGATTCCGTTTCCGCAATCCGTTTGGCCAAATTCAGACTCGAAATACCTCAAATTGATAGTCAAACTCGAAAAATGCTTATACTTAAGAAGACTAGCTTGAACAATTAAATAGGATTTGGGACTGATAGATTATTATTGTTTAAAGGTACAAGAGACTCTCCGGATCGTTCGACAGCTCGACCCAGCTCTTCTAGATCAGTTAAACCACGTGTGCCAGTATTCACCCGTTCGAAAATTGTAGCAGAGCGTGGTGAAACCAGCAATCAGTAAATTTGCTATTTGAACCTATTGTCGAGGTGTGTTCCCTACTTATTATTGAACTGTTTATTGGTTTAATATGTGGTACACCGAATTCATTGGCTATTGTTTTATGGATGCACCAATTTAATGTGACAATTTATGGAATTGGCTGCTATCTAATTTTTGTTTTGAAATGGTATATGATTACCATGTTTTTGGATTTATGGAATTTATGTCACGGTGCAATTGAATTTGGAATTGAAATACGATGGAATAGCTCTGATCAAGCTAACTGGGCTTAATGTGACTCTTGAGGGCCCCAAGATGTTTCATTAGGTCGGCTTTCCTTTGCTGTGTGCTTAGGGTAAGCTATATGGACTTATTGACTTGGGCTTAAGGATACAAGCTTCATAGCCTATCCTTAAGTCGGCTTTCTTTTTGCTATGTGCATAAAGTAAGCTATATGGAAATACTTTGGGAACTACTGATGGTGTACCAAAAAGGGTTTAAACTATGATTTTCAAAAGTTAAACTCTTTTACGAATTTGTGAGATTACTGGACTATGATTTGTACCTATTGTGAGTTTATGGAAATGTTGGGACACTGAGCCTAGCTCACCTTTTGAAAATGTTTTCCCCTTTCAGATACTGTTGGTTAGATACCTTGGTTCGAGCACTTGGAGGATCAACATATCTTGAAGTAAATCAAATTGTAATGTTTTATCTGGCAAGTTGACTTTATTTTGGTGACATGGACCTTATTTAAAATATCGGATTTTATAATGATAACTCTTTTGCTAATACTGCTCGGTTATTGTGATATTGAATTTGAAGACAAGTTTTAAATTAAATTATTATTTATTGGTACTATATTTACGAGTTGGATTTTGATATTATAATTTGTTTATAATTTCATGTTATTTATAATGTGATTTTATATTGATGGAATAACGGTTTCCAAAATTGTCTTTAATAATCATAATGTGATCCACTAGACTTAGTCGAAACGCATAGGCGGGTCTAGGGGGTTACATTAAGGGTCACTTTTGTCTTTGTAATAGGCTCAATTTATCATTTCGTTTCTATAATATTTTCGTATTAATTTAGTCATTGAAGTTACTCATTTGCGTCAATGTTTAAAATATTTACTATTATTTAGGGTTTTAAATTAAGATTAGGGTGAATTAAAGGTTTATGAGATTATAGTTTAGGGTTTAAAATTTATGATTTAAGATTTAAGTTAGAGTTAAGATATAGAATGATATAATTAAACTATTTGAGGGTTAAATTGATGTGAACATACTATAAGTATAAAAATGATAAATCAGGTCTACACAAACAAAAGTGGCCCTTAAGTTTTAATTTTTAAATAAAATATCAATCAACTTTGTGTGTAAAAAATTTTGGCCCTGTATTAGACATTTATTTACAAAAAAAAAAATGAAAGTCATTTTCTTCATAATTATATTAGATACTGGTTTTACCATCAAAGATTTTGGCTCAAAACCAACGTTATTACTTGGGCATTTTGATTTTACCATTGAAGTGTTAAGCATAGGGTCAAAGAGAAATAAATGACATATTAAGGAAACAAACACATCCTAAACTAACGCCAAGAACCTTGACTGTAATTTCTGAATCTTCTTTTTACTCTTTTTAATTATAAAGTCGAGAACATAAATTAACGTCTAAAATAAATAGTGCCTAGAGCATCATCTTTGATAATATTGTGAAGTACATCAGGAAAATCACTTGGCCACAGCACAACATCATTCTCCCGAACACACATCCTTGAAAGATGATCGGCTGCTTTATTACTTTCGCGCCATGAATGAGTGACACAATACGTCTCAAACTTGGCTAATAGTTTCCATATTTCCCTTAAACAACGACTACCCTTCGGACCATAAGGTTGCTCTTGATTAATAGTTTTCACAACACTCTTTGAATCGGATTCAACCCATATTACTTTAATTCCTAGACCTGAAGCAAGAATGAGACCCCTCCATACAGCCCATAGTTCAACCAAGAAAGTATCATCTTGAGGAGCTTTAGATACAAAAGCGCATAATGGCTCACCCTTGTGGTCTCGAAATAAACCACCAAAACTTGAATTTTTTGCATCTACAGATCCATCCGTATTTAACTTTATGCATCCTATCTCTGGCTTCTTCCATCTACACCATCTAATTGGTTTGGTGATCGGATTTAGAAGGCCGGTCAATCTCTCAATACTCAATTACCAAGAGAAACAACCCCCTCAGCTTTCTTTGGCACTAAATATGACATACAAGTTTCCCTCCACAAAAGTTCACCTACTCGGAGTTTGTATTCCTTGGCCTTGTGTTTCTTCCCACGAAGGTGGTCTTTCAGACAATTTTCACTTGAAGTACTTATCAGACAAAGTACACAGCTCCATTCCTTTTGAACTCTCTTTGAGAACAAATTACCTCTTTATTGCCATAGCTAAGATCAACATTTCCCTGAAAAAATCATTACATACAAATCACAATGATCGATTTAATGAAAATCAAGCAAACTCTTCACATACAAAGAAACTATGGAACTCCTATGATTATATCGTGGGAAAACAAAACATATCATTGCATTCAACTCCAGATTTGGTGAACTTTTAGCACATTTTTCATATAATCTTCCCTGTTTAGATGCTCCATTGAAGTGGTTCATTGTGTTTTTCATCTACATATATATATACCATCCCTTAACTCAAGTACATCATTCCAAAATTGATGAATTATATGAACTTACCAGACCAGTACTTAGTTTCTCTGAGTCCGGCCATTCATGAATGTACTCGAGTCAGCGTCATCAAATATGCCGTCCGGATTGTGAATTACAGTGCCTTTCTTTCTTGGAAGAACATTATGTCCCATGTTTTATCTAAAAAATAAGGTCTAATAAAAAGGTTGAAGACATAAGAAGAACCACCAAAGCAGGGTGTCACCAGCAATATTGTTGTAACACCCTTTGCATAAGGCCAGAAAGGCAACCTGCCAATATAAAAAAAACAATCACAAAATTCAGTGAGAAATCCTAGTGAAAATTGAGATTGGCAAAAATGTAAACATCCAACACTAATGGCAGGTCTAATCTCACTCTTGTTCCAACAAATTATCTAACAAGCACAAAAAATTTCCAAGTTGAACTACAAAACAAATGAAACCTCGATCAAACCATCAAGACTAGTATCAGTTACAACTCAAAAAGCCCAGATTTACACTTCAAAATACACCAAGTGTCAGCTCCACCATTGTAATCAATGCAAACAGAACCCAGTACATCAAACATTGCTGATTTTTTAAGGAAGAATTAGTCTGTACAATGCGAATCGAAGCAAACCTGCAATTTCAAATATGGGAAAGTAAAACAAAATCATCTACACAGATGCTAAGTTCAAATCATATAATATTTAAACACAAATTCAGCACATCAATGTGTATCGAGAAAGTTAAGATTAGCTACGTACAAGGGGTAAATTAAAGTGAATGAAGGCCTGCAGATCAACAAAAATTAAAAAAGAAAAAAGAAAAGTAAAAGTTAGTGACTCAGTATAATAAGCTTTGAACTTGAATCAAACGAGCATGAAGACGTATAAATAATCACATACGAAGAGAGCACAGTGAAGATATTTGTTAAGAGTTCAAGAAAAGCATCCCGAAACCCATCTCCTTCGACTTCGACTTTTCCTTTCTTCAAGTTCTTCTTCCACATTTGAAAGTGGAAAAGTCAAAGGAAACTTCTAGTTATCAACATTTTTGAGGATGGGTATTTTGATTTACGAAGAGGAGACCGAGACTCAATTATTGGTGAGATCAAGTCACCAAAGTAAAAAAGTAGTACTTTAGGGTAAAAGACCGCCGAACTGAAGACCAATCGTCGGCTCTCTACAGAGTTCGCGTGCTCATATACATAAAATTCTTGAACCATTAATAAGGATGTGGTTGCTTAGGGAAAGGGAAAGTGTAAAAGGCGCAATGAAGAAAATAGATTAAATTAGATTTTTTAAAATAATTTTAAGGTGGTTATATAATATTATCTTTTAAAAATTTTAATTTATTAATAACATAAATACAACTACTTAAAATTAGGTAGAATAATCTTTTATTTTTATATTGATGTCAATTGAGAGTTAATAATACATTTTATATTTTGTTTAATAATGGTTTGTGTCCCTTTGCTATATTGATTTAATTTTTTAAATATTTATTTATTATATTTTCATTTAGAGTAAACTACAAATTTACTATCTAAATTATTATTTTGTTTCGTTTTGATACCTAAACTTCATATGTTTCAAAATTATTTATGTTTCAAAATTATTTATGTTTTATTTTGGTATCTCGCCATTAAAAACTTAACAGAATTATTGTATATGGCATTTTTATGTGTAAATTACGTCATTCATCACTCAACTATCTTCTCACTCCTATTTTGGTCACTAAAATTTAAAAAAAATCAATTTAACTACTCAACCTTCAAATTGATCATGTTTTAATCACTCTAATTTGTTTTATTAATAATTTTATGACATGAAATTTTTATTATTATTTTATTAATATATAATTAAAATAAAAAATAAATATGATAGTTAGAGTGATTAAATTAGGATTAATTTGAAAGTTAAGTAATTAAATTAAAAAATAAACTTTAGTGACCAAAATAGGAGTGGAAAGATAGTTGAGTGATTAATGATGTAATTTACCCATAAAAAATGCCATGATAACAAAGATTGGATTCCTAAGAATAAATATTTAATTGAATAAGTGAAAAAATGTGTATTAGTCTAATTGATATGTATTATTTTTTAGTCATAACTTGATTTAAAAAATTATGAATGTTAAATGAAATGAAATTTAAGTATAGTGAAATAAAATTTGTTGGAGTTAAATTAAAATGTCGTACACATTCCAAATTAAAGCACACGGACTTGGGCTTAAGGGATATTCTAATATTTATGCTCAATTCAAATTATTAAGTTGTTCCTCCGTACAAAAAATAAATTATCAATTAAATTCTTAAACTTTTGAATCGTATTAATGTTTTCTTTTATTGATAAAAATCGTCATTGATTGTTATGATATTAAAACGACAGTTAATGTTGACGTGATGGTTTACGATGCTGACTTGACAATTCACATGTGAATGATATCATGATAAAGAAGTTCAATTGATATTTTAGATAATTCGAGAGTTTGATTATTCTTTTAGAAATTTGGACAACTTATTTAAAAGAGAAAATAATCTCAGTGACTAAAAATGTCTTATAATATACGAATTTAACCAACTTTTTTTGGATTTATCAAAATGACCAAGAAATCCGCAACGCGATCTCAAATTCGCAACGTGATCTCAAATTCGCAACGCGAATTCCAATTTCGCAACTCAGTTTCCAAATTCGCAACGCGATTTTCCAAATTCGCAATGCGAAAGTCAAATTCGCAATGCGAAAGTCAAATTCGCAACGCGAATTTGTAAATCGCAACACATAAGTCAAATTCGCAACGCGATAGTCAAATTCGCAAATCGAAAGTCAAATGTTTTTACGCGAAACACAATATTAATTTCGCAACACAAATGTAAACAGTATTATCGCAAATCATCTCTAACCTAAAACCCTAAAGCACAACTCAATCCCATTTTCATCTCTCACTCTCTACGGCGACACCCGTCCCCATCTCCGACGAAATCCGACCCCATTTCCGACGAAATCCGTCTATCTCCATCTCTTAGAGCAACCCTCACAACCATTCACGGTCAGAAATGAAAATCAACCACCGAGGGTTAGTTTTTTTAATTATTTTTATTTTGAATTTTTGTATTATTATTAGATTAACCATTTCACTGAGATTGCTAAATTCATTCGATTGCTGCTAATACTGCTAAACTGTTTAGTCTTTAACCTTGTGAAGTTAGTATTTGTCTTTGTTTTGTCTTTTTGTTGAAGTAACCCTAAATCGCAACACCAAATTTGCAACGCGAAAATGAAAATCGCAACGCGAAACTAAAATCGCGTTGCGAATTTAAGTTTCAGAAACTTCTTTTATTCTGCAAATTGAAACTTGAATGAATTGCATTACTTCAATCAAAAAACATAGACAAATATTAACTTCACAGTATTGCTAATTTAAGTTTCAAGAATAAACTACTACTCTTTATGTTGTCCTTGAACCTGCACTAAACCTATATGTTGTCCTTTTAAATATTTATATAGTTCTTACTTCTGGAATGTTATCTGATGCATTTTGTGAACTATGATGGAATAATGACTTGGGTGAATATCGTGCTAGTTTGAAACATATTTGGCTTTGTTTTCACTGTTTAATATCATGTCTGTTTATAGTGTATAATTTGTAGTTTTTGGTATATCTAACTTGGTATGTTTATTATTTTTGTAGAAATTTTTTTCGGCTGCATTGACCTGAAGGAATAAATTAAGCATAGCCACTAAAATTGAATCGACGCTTACACCTCTACAAAGAAAATTGTTTGAGGATACTTGCTTCGGGTCATGGCTGAAAGTGCAATATACGGTTGGAGATGCTATGTTGACACATTTGTTTCTTCAGACCATGACTAACGATCTACCCGAGGGGGTACAACGTGGTGATGAGGAGATATGATTTCATTTTCCTTCGGCACCGGTGTATACTTGTTTTGGGCGGGAGGAGTTTTGCTTAATCACCGGTCTACGCTTCGGACACGATGATGTAGGTCGGTACACTAGTCATATCGCCCGCCCATCATGGTTATATCGGGTTTTTCCTGAGCTGGCAAAGTCGAAGCCGAGTATATACGTCGACGACTTGAAGAGATTATTTGATAAAGATGGTTTTACTCAGATGGATGACCTTGATGTTGTCCGAGTATGCCATTTATTACTTTTGCATGCCGGCTTTTTAGGCAAAGAGGGCAGACAACCAATCTCTGAGGACCTAATATTATTGGTAGATGACCTAAATGCATAGAACCTGTTTCTGTGGGGTTCATATCTATGGAAAGCTACATAGAAGAAGTTGTCATCTGCCTTTGAGGACCGAAAAAGTTTGCGGCGCGATGGTTCTAAATACACTTTGACAGGCTTTACTTGGGCCTTAAGGTAAGAACTTCTATATTATAATGTTTCCAAAATTATAATTAATTATTTAACAATTACTAATGTTTGTGTATTATATTGTTTGTAGATTTGGATATTTGAGGCTTTCCCCAGCATGCGGACATATGCGAAAAAAAGATCAAATGATATTCATAGGGCTATTACCTGGAAGAGGATCCGCATGTTGGATTGGGAAGAGTTACTCCCATATACGACGATGAATGATGTAAGTTAACACACAAATAATACCATATAAACAAGTTATTACTAGTACAAGTTTAACTTTGTTTGAGCTTTTATATTCTTAGGTGGCCAACTATCCATTACAGAGGCTGACACCCACAAAGGCTAAGCTTGCCACTGATTGGTGGCAAGCTAGTAAGCGGTTTTTTGACGGATAATGAGCACCCCACCTCGAGAGCCATCACATGATCGGGCCGATTCTACAGCTCGACACCCGGAGCCATCACCTGATCAAGCCTCGTCTCCACCTCCACCATCACCTATTCCATCACATCATCGAGCCTCTTCTCCACCATCACCTCATGATAGGCGACCGACAAAGAGGCCACAACATTTATCTCCCTATTCTCCACCTCTACGGGATGAGTTAGGAGAATTACGTGATGAGGTCGGTGCTTTGCGTCATGAGGTCAGTACTTTACGTGAAGATAATGGTGCATGGCGTGATGAGGTTCGATCTTTACATGGTCAGGTGGATTTTTTACGCGATGATAATGGTGCGCTACGCGGTGAGGTGTCTACCTTACGTGATGAGGTTGCCACTCTACGCGAGATTGTTTCATTATTGCAGAATGAGGTTAATACTCTGCGCAATGAGGTAAATTTGTTTAATACTATACTAAAAATGCAAATAACTTTTTTTCGGCATTATTTATTTATTTATTTACTGATTTATATATTAATTTATTTTCAGCGGCCCGATAAGGTAGATGCTTTATGTCGGGTTTTTCTTGCACGACGGGGTTCACGCATCAGACGTCGTGCACGTGCCATTACGTCTTCGTTCACCCCACTAGTGCCAAGACTCCGTAAGAATAAGCCCGATGCACCTATCATCATTCAAGAGGCCCCTCTCATCATTGAAGAAGCCCCTCCCACCATTCAAGATGCCCCTGTCATCGTTCAAGTGGTCTCGCCCGCCGTTTAAGAGCCCGATTCACATGGCGTCATATGTCGACATATTAATAAACCCCCTCCCGTGCCCGATATGATGGATACGAGTTGGCTTTCGTATGTGTTACCGGCCAGTACCATTCCTCAGGAGGAGAGGGAAACACTACCGGAAATAATTACGGATAATACCCTTTGGTCTAAGATCGTAGTTGATTTTTATCTACATGAGCGGAGCAAGGGGTGTTATTCTGACCTATGCCAAATCGACGATGCATATCATTGTTTCTGATCGGTCTTAGTGGGGTATTTTATTAGGGGTTGAAGATAATAGCTATCTCGAAGGGGTGGTAAGTCTTATATTCTTCTTATATTGCATTTTGATTAATTTTTTTTAAATTTATTAATAAATTCACTAATATATGTATTTTTTTTATAAAACAACATATTGATGCATGGGTGTCACGTCTTCTAATAATAAGGAAATTGAAGAAAATAAAAAATACTCGATGGACTATTATGCCGACATCTTTTCACTCAGCTCACTTGAAGGATCAGAGAGATGCTTCATATAAGTTGGCTAATGGAAAAGCTAAATTTTATCCTGCGTTGTGGGAGGTCGATAAGGTTAGTATTTATTTTTTTGAATATTTTAAAGGTTTTCATAAATTTTATTTGATGTGTGTAATTATTTATGATTGTAGGTGTTTATC